ATTCTGAAGTAGAAGTGAGGTTTTCTAAAGTTAAGGCGGGATGACGAATTGGAGTATCAAAACATCCAACCAACGGCAAAGAGTAATCCACTTCCACAGAGATCCACATTGGTTCATTTATGATATCGGTCCCGAGCATAAATAACACACCCACCCCCTTTCTAACGTGTCGGCTGTTCATTAGTGATGAATAGACCATTATTGGGTAGAATTCACTTCAAGTACGGAGGATTATGCCAGGTTTCATTAATGAGTGGTAACTCAGGAGTTACGATGGTAAGCAGATGACGCAAAGTGTGCATTCTATTAGTTAGAGAGCGAGCATTGATAAGAAGCAACTAGACAGCGCCTTGCACGTTTGCAAGAGTTAGAACTTCTTGGATACTTAGGGCTATGGTATTACTGCTGCATGCATCGGCAGCCATGGGGATTGTGGTGGAAACCTCGGCGTACTGAGACCGCAGTGTGACTAGCATAATTGTGCTAGATTTAGAAACTGGTTGCAAAAGAGATGCTTCACTGGAGTGGCAAGACTGGATACTGAGGCTGGCGTCGATTGGTTCTAGCCGTTGCAAAAGCTGCTGTGGTTGGGTTACCGATTGCACGTGTTAGTGGCTGGTAAAACTACGTGGGGCATCAAGTGCTACGGAGTGTCCCTTAAGCATACATCTTTTACTATTATTTTTATAGGGATGTAAAAGTTAGCCCACTAAATGATATGTGAACTGTTTATGGGTCAGACATTGGTAGTACAATGATGTATCTGCTAAATGGGGGGCGCAGTATGTTCTGCAGACGATGGTTGGAGCCTTATACCAGGTACCACGCGCCGCTTTAAATTTGGGTTCTCTCTAAATGTTCGCAGAATCTCGTCTACTTCCTACACAGTAGGTATATTTAAAGCTATAGGATTTTTCCTGGGTCTGCATTCCTCTTGAAAGAACTCGTTTCACTTTTTAGTGACGGTTCAACACATTTAATTCTACCTTCGGGCTATTAGCCACGTTGTTGTTTTTACTTGGCGTAGATTGTTCACTGTTCAACTTGCCAGCTTTCGTGACAGCTTTGTGTGTATCTTCGTTCATGACTATAATCTAACTTTGTTGCATAACGTGAATCCGATACATTAATGTCATCGAGATCAACATCATCGGGACAAACTTCAGTGCAAACATCGGTCTTCAAAGGTGACTGCTCAACCTTCGTGCTAGCACGATTTGTTGAGAAAGTTCCTTCTCCTCTAATGGGGTCCGGTCAGCTCTACTCAGTGCAGATTTTAATTCAATATTCGCTACGATTATCTTCCAATTCTTAATGAACGATCAGGCAATCTCAAAGGTGTTAAACCTTAGCAATATCTGGCAAGTGCTTTGCAAACATTTTTCTGAGGTCTTACAACAGCACAGTTTACGCAACCTAAGGAAGTATCCGAGAAACGTGTATACTTTAATTTATCAGTCGGGTACCTGTCAGGTATACTAGAGATGATAACATTCTTAGAACCTATAAGCTTTTCGTGAGCTTCAGCGGTAATAGTAGCTATGACGTTATTGGCTCTATCCAAATGTTCAGTTCATTGGGTTTGGGGTAGGTCCACAATGTACATTATTGGGGTTGGTTGTCTTATGATTCATTCCGGATCACAAGCTTTCTTAACTCTGTTTCCATGAAGGATGTTTTCCTGGGTATCTTAATTGCTTGGTCTTCCATCTGAACCCACCTTGTCTGGGATTTCATCATGGCAACGGGTGAAGTAGCATAATTTTTCTGCGCTTTTTGTCTCCTAGCTGATCTTGTCTTAGGTGCTAAGACTTACACTTTGTAACATGCAGCAAATCCAAAGAGGGCTTGCATAAAAAAAGAATTCAAGAACTACACCTTTTCAGTTAACTGCATCCATAACGCTTTCCAACAGTCGTAATGAAATAGGTTCCATCCATACATATTTCAAAATCCTCCTTAAGGCAATCAAATATCATCCACCTGGCGCGAACGCACCAAAGGGTGCCCCTCCTTGAGTGACCAATCCCAAATCAACCAACAGCATATCAGACGAGTTTACGACATGAGTTATCAGAGAAGGCTTGGGTGTGGCGCAGATCGCGTGCGATTTGGTGGGTGCCTAGTCGCGCTCGACACTCGTATTCAGGCATGATTGGCTACACTGAAGCTACACACATGCTAGGGGGTATACTCGCAAAACTCACGTGGTGCCATCTGGGCTTAGGAGTCACTAGTGATCATGGTTGTTGGTACGTAACATTTAGGCATTTCCATTTCTACGTGAAATCTGATTGCGCGGTGTGTCCGCCCATTCCATCGCTGAGCAGCCCCTATACTGCGAGGCACCCGAGTGAATGAGTGCGAATGAATTGGACCTTGGGAATAATGACATGAAGTCGCTCACACATACCGTTGTCGATGATCGGCTGGCATGGAAGTTGGGCTAGTGACACCGGAGGGGCGTGGAGAGCGTGTGGACCGCGGTGTGTTTCGGGGTGCCGCATGCTCACTGAGCGCAATGTTGAAAGGTCCGCGTTTGATGGATGTAGCGATTCGAATCAGGATGAGTGCGCGCGCAGTGCACATTGGCATCCTCACCGAGGTTTCACTCGCCTATTGCCTTTGTTATGCCGTTGTTCGACTGAGCTTGCTCCTGGGGAATATTTCATATCGTTGCGTCATGGTTCCCATTGCGGTTGCTAAGACATGTAAGTGCCTGAGTGGTTCCTCCAACCGTTCTCACACATGATTTGTATTGTTGCGAAACAGACCGAATGTGGTGTTGTTCCAGGGGCGACACACACAAACAGGAAAAAGAATTCCGCAACACTCGGGGCGGTTATACTATTCTGCCAGTTTCAAGGAATGATCTCAGTTAGGTGTTATTGCTAAACTGCAGTAAATAGCGGCGCACATGATTTGGTTAACTCAGAACAATGTAATCATTAGCAGATTGTCAGCTAATCAGCAATACCCGTGTTTCCGCCTCTTTTCATATGGCAAATTACGCGTTCCAATGACGCACTTGGAAACCCGACGTTGAGTCTGCTCCAGATCAGTGACATCGTGCTTCAGTTTTGGTTGCCTTGCTTGAATTGCTTGTTCTACGTGGTGGTTCCCAGCTTGTAATGCCATTTCCGTTTGCTCAGAACAACCCGTCATCCCGAACCAGTGACGCAGGTCACGTTCGACGATAGAGAACTGTAGGGTCTGCGTTTCGAACCTATAGGGGTAGAAGCTGTGGTATCGTATGCAGAGTATCTTACACGCGGGTAGTCACCCTACCTACGAGAATTGAATCCTTCAGATGCACAGCTGTCGAACGGATTGTGAACTTTTTGAGAAATAAGCGTTTTTTTCATCATCAGATCATAGTGTCATAAAAGTGGAAACTGTTCTCGTAAGCGTAGGCGAGTCTCAAACTGATGCGACAAAGTACAACAGCGACGTAGCAGAGAAACGAATCCCATCGCGACGCGACTGGACTTTATCTTGATGCGATGTTTTGCATACTTTCGTGATCTATTGGGCTTCGCTCGGTGGCAACTTCTAGATGCCATCAGGACTGCTCCTACCAAATGTGTCAGTGGTTAGGAGACGGACTAAAAGTCTCACAATCCTCTTCGAGGGTTGGTAGAGGTCCATGGTCCTCTTCCTTTAGAACAGCCACGGGACACAACAGGTTTTAGAGTATCTCACAGCTCGATTGGCGTAGAGCACGAGTGCTACGCATTGTCTCTGATCGTGGGAGTGCACCACGCGGCGCTTAATCGTTTGCTACCTCCCACTTCAATCTAGGCAACTCCTACTGAAAGAGGTGCAATCCCGCCAATTCCCACATGCGGTTGGCTGTGGTCGCACATAAATTGCCATAGATCTGACAGGCCTCAAGCAGATCCCAATGAGACACTGCCATCACGCTGTCCAGTTGGATTAGCTCCGCACTTCATTGTGGGTCATGCTGTTGATCCAAAGATTCTGGGTGGAGCAAGTCAAGTGAACCTCCATATACGTTGTGGATCAGACTGTTGAGTGAAAGGTTGGGGGTAAGGCACCTCAACCAACAACCCTCTTCTGGAATGGGCAGCCAGAGAGTATAAACTGCCCTCTCGACCCGTACGCCAACACTTATTGTGTACTCGTTCTACTCTCTTCTCCCCCCGTTTGTTGCACAAAAAACTGTCACTGACCTCGTAACTGAAGCTATCGAACCGAGATTCGCATTTTTCAATGGTTCATTTGACGTCCACGCACTTTTTCAGATCGGTCAACAGCAGCACTAACTTTAAAATGTTTCGCAAAACTGGTAGCTCGGGTTGATAATTCAGTTGCTTATTTGTTCGCCGAGCTGGGAAATTTGTCTGCAAACGTTTCACTGCCATGCGAGGTAGCGTCATCAGTGCGTTGAGATGTGGTGTGTAATCTCGCTAATTGAATTGTCGTTCCGTGATCGGCGTGCAGGTAGGTGGCAGGCAGTCGCCGCCAACCAGGGTAGAATGAGGGCAGAAGGAATTGACTTGGAAAGTGCTGTCGAATGGCGACAATGGCTGTCACTTTGTACAGCCACCTGAAAGAATGATAGTGATATTTTTACATGGCACTGGAAATGGTTTTCCGAATAAGACCACAAGGAGTTCTTGTGGGAGATGAAAAGATGAAAATATCCGCGTAGTTTCAGGCACGGATGACTTCGAAATTGCTAAAACGCAGTTTGGTGGTGCTCCGCGGATGGAGCCGAATCGAATGATAGATGTAGGTGCATGTGAAAATAAATTTGGAGATTTTAAGGCGAACAACGCAGGAGCACATATTTATTGCTACCGCACCTCAGTGGTTGGTGATCAGTGATGTCGCTGCTCTGCTGTGTGCTTTCTAACCACTTGGTTTATGCGTTGTTTTGGTTTCTTTTCTCGCTGTTCGTTAAAGTGCCGTACTTTCTCCCGCGTGTTTTTTTACCTCTTTTCTTTCGCCTCTCTTCCCTCTACGATTCCTCATAGATCGTCAGTGTCAGTTGGATTCTGCACTCAGCAAAGACTCGCCTGTCTGTTTTACTCCCTGCACATCGAGCGGCCACATTGGTGACCCTGACTTTACGCCACTAAATCTGCATAATGTTGTTGACCTCGTGAGTTCGGTTTTTTCTGTTCTCATTGCATTTTACCCTACTTATGTTCACCTCCTTTCGTTCATCGAATGGGACGTACAAAGGACACTGGTCATTTAGAAGCAGCCGGTTTATTGAACAACCCCCGTTTTATTCATTTCCTGGTTCCATAAATGACAGCACTACTCTTTGCGCCAGAAACATTGTGATCTCCCCCAAGCCTGATCTGCTCTCCACTACTTTGACTTTGCAGCACATTTCAGTAGCCAACTATGGTCCGTACCATAAGGTGCTCTAAACCCGGTTATCTTAGGTTTCCATTCAAAAAGAACGGGACCAGGGTTATTCTCATCAAAACTATGGGAAGAATTACAGCAGCTCTACTGATTCCGAGATGCGCCTCATCCAATAGAATGTCCAATTACGGCTGTTACCGATTTTGTAGTGTCTACCTAGGCACTCTACTTGACCTTTCGGTCAACTTCTTGAAGCCATTTCGACATTTAATCGACTGACAATTTCGGGCACAGTGTTGCTTGACTATGTGCACCGAGGTAACCAGATTTCAGGAACGCAAGGAGCTTGACCCTGTTTCAGTAGATGGTTCTGATGCAGCATCAGGAGGCATGTTGCAGTTCACTGACTGACGAACTTTGGTTCTATTTCCTCAGCACTCGGATAATAAATGAGCAATGCTTCGCGGATATCTTTGGTGAAACATAGGCTGTCATTGTTCTCAGCCTGCGCTTACCGAGATGGTCACATCTCGGCGTTGTTTACCTTTGCCAATAATATTATATCCGATTGTGTCCATGAATAACGGGTTATCGCAAAACATGTCCATCCTGATACCATATGCACTAGCCCCTCCAGTGACTTGACCAACTTATTTGGTACAGTTACCGAGACAAATAGGCTGTTCGACTATTCCGTCGTTGCTAAAACTTCCGGTGTGTGATACCTCCTCAGTTGGTCGCCGTCGCGTAGGCTGTGTGCATGTTTGCCCGTGCCTGATCTGACGTTCCTCACACCAGGTAGCTTTCTTGTTATTTCATCACACATTCTCGACCTGTTGTGTACGTCGCTTTCATATTCCGTCTTACGACATACATCCACTGTCCCATGGCTACTTTTTTGATTTCGTCTAGATGTAAAAATAAACCAACTGGGGTTGTTTTGCTTACCTCCATTTATAACTCCATTACTGCTATGACATCACCTCAGTCATTGGGTCAGCGACACTCCGGTAGATTCGAGTCACACATAAAGTGAACATCAGCGCGTTAGAATACGCACTAAGTTTTACGCATTGTGTCAACCAGTACCTTTCTGGACTGCTCGCGTGCTCAGGTCACGCTGACCAGTCGTTGGTGCCCTTGACTAGAAGGTACAACAGCGTTTGCTTTCCTGGGATGAAAAACTCCTAAGTTAAGAAAACGTTTGTTGTATATTTTTTCAGAAGCAGAAAACCCCCAACACCATGCCTTGGAGCACGCCACTAGTGGAGAGATACCAGTTGGTTAGATGGCCATTGACTTGTACCCTCCATTTTCGTCCAACTAGAAACTCCCAAATCCGCTGGTACAGTGATCCACCAACATCACACACTCTCAGCTCGTGGAGGAGGGCCTCATGGTTTACCTTGTAGAATGTTTTACTGAAACCGATGTATATCACGTCGACAGACTTCCACTAGTTCACCTCCTGCAACCATTCATGCCTCCTCGCCAGCAGGTTGGTAATTCATGAGCAGCCTAGCATCAAATCTTACTGTGCGGTCACCACTAGATCTTTCAACTCAAGCAAATGCAGCAGATCCTCGTTCAGAATCTTCTGGCGAACTCTGGCCAAAGTAATTTTCATCAAAAATGGTCTATAATAATCCACTTTCCTGGTGTCTCCGTCCTTCGGAATCGGTTTTTCTAACATTCATTTCCAGTCGTTTGGCAGTAAACCTTCGGACAGCGATCTGTTGAAGAAGCTTGTCACAGAAGGTGGGATGATAGCCGATAGTCGTTTGGAAATCATCGGTTTGAGTTTGTCACCACCAGCAGATCTAGCACCGTCGAGTTTTGTTAGTAGTTGACGCAACTCTTCCACTCTGCAAACCAAACTGTCGTGTTCCGTAAGTGCGGCATACGTCGAACTCCATGCAGACTCCTAGTCACTGCAAGTATGGAAAGGAAGTGCGCTGCCATCGCGGAGGCACGCTCAGTGTTAGAAGTTAGGGGCTCTATTTCCTGGGCAGTCACCTCAGAATTCAACCACGTCTCTGCGAATCCCATTACATATGGCCGCTCAGATACAACGAAACGTGAGAGTTCATCTTACTTCTTCATAATACTGCAAATGTTGGTAAAGCCTACACACAGACATCAGCAGCGTGTTCGAAGTTTAAACACTGCTCTCTATGCTCAATGGCACAGTGATCATGGCCATAGCCGCGAAGCACTATGCACTGAGTTCCACTCCCAGCTCGGCTATCTCCACCTGCTGAGACCAAACCAGGACAACATCATCGGTCATGGAGTGCAGAGATGCGAAAGAGCCACACCGAAACCCTTCACTTCGGTGACGGTCCCAGTGACCGTATTGGCAGAGGCTAACTTCAAATTCAACTGACGCCACAATTGAGATTGCATGTCGCGATCCAAGACACACGGAGGATGCTCCAACAGTCAAAAATCAATTTGAGCAACCTGTTTATCCTGCTTCGTGAAACTTTGTGAATGACCCGAAAAATTGCGATACTGAGATTCGTTTCCCCATCACCATTGTCTTCAGACAAATTATGTCAGACGTGAGCCATTCTCTGTCCACCGGATCCAGGCCTGGCCGAACGTGGATCTTCAAACCCTTCAGTTTATTTAGGCGGGACAAGCTCAGCCTCGGGTGTTTCTCATTTGACCGCATTTGTTGGTCACGTTTTTTTCAAGACAGTTAATATGTTCAAAGAGGACAGAAGACAAAAGTTACGGTTTGTTGAGATCGAGGCGTCTATTGATTATACTCTATCAAAAATCGACGCCTTCATGGTTGCACATCTGAGAATTTAGATCACTGAACGCTGGCGCGTGGAAGTTCCTCATCCTAAATACACGTTAGGCGAGGATGAGAACCACGCCTCAGCTAATGCGCTTCGATACAAAAAAGAGAGGTGCTTAAACAGTACAGACTACAAAGGCCAAAAGAGTGCCATAGTGATAAAAACACGTAATGCTTTGGGTTTGAGATCGCTGTTGATGTGGGAAGCTAAATCGGAGAGGAGGGTCGAAGAGACTCACCACACAAACGCCATTGAGGTAGGCTCCTCGCCAAGTCAGCTAGTGTATCCATCCAAACTTGTTCATCGTCCTTGGGACCCCAGCCCGGCAGTCGGGAGACATGACGTCACGATGGAAGTGATAGACTTCATTCCTCTTGATCAAGTAATCACTTGACCTTCTCCTCCTTTTCCAACCATACCCCGGCATTGCAAACAACGCACGTCGCGGGAGTCGGTGTGCTGGCACCCGCAACGTGCTCTAGCCATCGAAGCCTGGTACTTGAAATAATGGTGCTGAGCGACTCACTCGCTCTTCCTACACCGAATACGCGACGTCGAACACTCTCATTGCTCACGCGGTGTTCCCACCAGACATGGACTAAGATGCGAAGGTAGCGATGGTGGAACGTAACAAGTCTGGTTATGTCTGTCGACTTGATGGATCAGGCTTCGCACTTGTACATGCGAGTCGAACGTTCGGCTGCCTCGTAAACTCTGTCCTTCAGAATGAGAGCGGTGTCATGCCGGCGCCACAGGTGGAGGAGATTGGTGAAAACAGCTCGATATTTTGCTATACGGTTATAAATAAATAAATGGTATATTCCTCGGTGATTCGAGGTGCAGTCCAACTATGTGGTATGATCAATGTGTACAACAGGATCGCAAAAATATAATCAATTTGTTCACGCTTTTTACAATGGATCAAAAACAGGTACTAAACTATTTGGCAGGACTAAGGCATTAAAGAAATTAAAAACCAGGAACAATAAGGTAAGCAGATTTAAACAGATGTCCAGTTAATGTAATACGGCCACTCGTGGAACCATCCCCAGGGACCTGCTTCCATGCAAGGTATTCCCTCGAAAGGTTTCGCTCGCACTTCCATGCAATAACTGGCCGTGTGCCGGTGTGGCATAGTAGCATTTGAGCCATCACCTGTATATCATATGTTCTGTTCTTTTTAGAGCTGCTTTTGTACATGTATTATGGGCCATGAAGGTAGAGCCCAGTCCGTCATGCGGATCATTCTATTATGGCACTTTTTTATACGCCAGTCAGTTGGTGGCAATTTGCCTTGCATAGGTAACCTCTTTTATAATCTGGAAGCTGTAATCCTTCACCACAGGAGATCAGTCTAGTCGTGGCCAACTATGAAATAAGGAAGAGTATAGAAAAGAAGAATTATGTGAAAACTATTTCGTTAGTGTAAAAAATAGGCAGGTATGTTTTTTTACATCGGCGTAGAAATGGATCAAGCCGATCATACGTTAAATTGTGTGGCGTGACAGCCGGAGACAGATGACTGTACGAGTTGTCCATAGGCAAAAGTCGCATAGGGAATCAGTTATTGCCATCACTGAATTCATTTATATGTTTCTGGACTGTTAACTTCAGAAAAGAAGGGGAAATGATTAGCACTGGAGAACAAATGTAGCGAAAGGGATCGCAGAACAATATTACGAATTAATCAATTTGTGGGGAAAATTACGAAAATAGTTCCTGACGTCACACCAGTAAATAATTTTGCTCTCGGTTTTAAACAGAAGACAGTTGGTATGAATTAAATTTAAAGGGAGTAAAACCGCATGGGAGGTAGCGTTAAGGAATAGCATAAGAAGCGGTTTGTAGCAGCTCATCCTAGCTGATCAAGTTTTCTCTGGTGCAGTAGATTTGATGTTCTCCGGTATCATACATGATCCGGCCCTTCTTCATACAGCTTTTCATCATCAAGTTGAATTTTTAAGATCCATTTCGC